GTGAAGTTGAGGGTCAGTGAAAAAGAGGAAGACCATCAAGGAGGATTGACCCAGTGGCTGCAACAATGGGCTCAAACGTAGCAATGACTGTACGATGGTGCAGGACCGGGCAGTGTTTCGTTCTGTTGTATACAGGGTAGCTCTATGAGTCGGAACTGACTCAATGGCATGTAACACATTTCTTGTTTAAATACTTTACCATAAAAAATGTATTATTTCTATAAGTAGGAAAAAAACAACAAGGATACAGTTAATGGGGGTGGGGAGGAAATGTGTTCCTAAGCATGGAGACAGGACCCTGAGCTACTGAGCTAGACTAAATAATGGTACCTCTGAAATAGGTGTTGCTTTCTTTACAATTTTAAACCACAATCATTCTCACTTCAGACATTTAAAGCTTGTAATAACAGATTTTAAGAATTTTCTGTAAGCAAGCAATAGGAAGTGGGATGCAACATCAATCAACAATACTTTATGTCTTTTAATAAGAGGTAAGTCAGACTTTTGGATTAATTTCAGGATGCAATTTTATAGGGAAGATAGTGACCCAAGAGGAAAAAAATCATCTTGCATTTGGAAGATACATTTGAATAATAATAACCTGGAAATATTTTACATTCACTAGAGTTCAAAGAGGTATATTTTTAGTCATAACATATTACAAGTAAAACTTTAAATAAGCTGTTGATGACTGGTTTAATTAAAGTATACCTTTAAATTTAACACTTGCGCTAAGTTTAGAAGGCCAAAAAAGCAAATATGTACAGACTTGAAATAGCTACCTTTTGAACTAGAGAGAGGACTGCCCTGCTGTCTCCTCTTGGCATCGCTGAGAATGTCGATAACCAGCGTGGCAAACTCATGGGCATTAAACCGAGCTAACTTCTGTCTGCCCTAAAGGTGAGAAAATAATTGGAAATATTCCCAATGTAGAAGATATATACATACATATGCACACAAAACTGGTCAGACTATTATTAGACCCCAGCCACGACCTTCCAACATGCTTAAAATATAATCAATCCCCACCATAACTAAATCATTCACATTTTCCATGCTAACAGTTTAAAACCATTTACATAAGAGAATTTTGTAACATTTAAGTTCTCATAATGCATATTTATTTTTCTGAACAAAAAACAGTTCTATTTAATTCTCTTCTTCTAGTATCAATTCTTTTTTAAGTAGACACAGTAATGAAAAATTTAGAGGGAAATTGCAAAATTTCAAGATAAACAATGTTTATCCATTATTATATATAGTCATTAATCAATAAAAATTAAAATTTCTTTCTAATTTATGCACCATTTCTCCTCTCGACAGTTGTTTAGGTTGTTCTAATGCTCTATTATTACATATATAGTGCTTTGATAAAAATCAGTATGTATAAATCTTTGAATTTTTTATTATTTGATTAGAACGCATTCCCAAACGAGGACTTCCCATGTGAAAGAATGTACTTAAGTTTGAGGCTTCTGAAACTGATTAACAAATTGCTTTCTGAAGTTTGTAGCAATTTAAACTCTTTATCTATAGTGTGAGAAAGGCTATCTCGCCATGTCCTTACCAGCTTGGAGTATCCTTTTACTGTACATTTTATTAATTTGATGGATCAAACTTTCATTA